TCCCTTTTACTTTCTCATTCCCCAAACGAAAAGTTCTGATGATGCTCTCACTGCCTGTATCAGTGGGATTTTAAAGCACACGAAATTTCCTATTTAAATTAAATCCATTTTCAGATTTTTTTTTTTCCCTAGACCCGCTGTATGTGGTCATTTGTGAGGACAGACTGTTGTGCCTTCAGGCCGTTTTTGCTGGAGAAGCGTGGGTAACCCCTGTTGGTTACAGCCTTCTAGGCTTGTACAAGGCACGCCTTAGATCTCTGCGTTGCTGTATAGCGAACGGTATACTGTCCTCTACAATGACATGGGATTCAGTCATCTGCTAGAGGAGCAGGTGATATTTAAGATGTCGGAGTTGTTAAAGCGGTAAAGTGCACCTTGAACCGATTTACAGACTGGTAGCAATGGGAGAACGTGGTTTATTTTTCTCTCTTCAATGTGTTTGCTCTGTAGGTTTTACTTCATCGGCTTGCAAACTTTCAACGAGTGTGGAGTTTGCCTCCAAATGAAAATACAGGAAAAGAAGTGACTGCTCTTGCTTGGAGACCAGATGGCAAAAGTAATGTCAAGTATATGAGGTGATATGGTGCAATAAAAATACCACTGGAAATCAGTGAAAGTTGTGGTAATGATACATCTTATCTGCTAGGGAAATTTTCAAGTAAAGTGTTTGAAGAGAAGGGTGGCTTAATTTTATGTAGGTTTATTCAAAGTAACAGAGTTACACCGTTCAAAGCAATTGCAAGAAAGATTCACAAGGTGGATTTATGTCCAAAATACTGCTTTTCAAGATATAGCGAAACTTCCAGTTCCTAACTAAGCAGAATATTTTATTTGAGTGACAAAATCTATTGCGTGAGTAGAGGGAGGGGCTGTCTGATCATGGTTGACTGAAGAGCTTAGCTTATTTAGCACAGACTGAACTTTAGAGGCTAAAATTTCTCTAATAACACACCAGAGAAGAAAATAAAGCCTTTTCCTTACCAACAGAAATAATGTTGAGATTAGTAGCTTAATAAACCTAAGCTGGAAATTAGTTAATTTTTTGACTCATTAGAGGCTGAAGAATGGGAACAATCTTCTTCTATGACGTGGGTAAAAAATACCTGTATGGTTTTATGATGGAGTCAGAGGAGTTTAAGAAACTTCTTTTTAAGCTGGTTGCCTGTGATTACAAGTAAGCAAGCATAGAAACCTTTGCCTGCCATATGCTTTTGCGGATTAATAAAGTTAAGAAGGTGATGCAAAAGTTGCTCAGCAAGTCTTAAATTGTATTTTGTTGTAATAAAACCCAAACCTTCCTGGTGGACAGTCTTTATATATAATTTTGGCCTCAAATTTGCAAAAACCGAAGCCTCTGCTTTATCAGAACTGTGGCTAGAAGCGTTAGAAGTGTGTTCAGTTCAACACTTAGATAAATAATTGTGGGATCATGCCTGTGACTTTATCACCTAAAATATGATAGGAGTTCAAACCTTCATTATAATGAGTAGGTTTCAAATGAGAATTTGGAAGGACTGTAAACAGACAAAGAGAAAATTCTGTCCAGCAATTGGCTTTGGAGACACATAATTTTCTAATTCAGTATGAAGTAACTACAGAGGGTTTTTTTGCATGTTGGTTGTTCATACATTTTACTCCTCTTTCTCTAGTTTTGGCTTTTGGCCTTACTGATACCAAGCGGATTATTCTGTGTGATGTTGAAAAACCCGAAAGCTTGCACTCCTTCTCTGTGGATTCATCTATTACTTACATGCATTGGATGGAAGTAACTGAGGAAAGCAGGTGAGTCTGAAAAACTCTAGAAATAAATTATAGGCTATGTAGTGCCACTTTACTAATAATTTATACTTAGTATGTTACAAGTGGTCATATAAAATATTATGTAGCTATGGCTTTTTGTTACCGCTTGGCTAAAATTTGCCTTTTGGTTAGCATAGACGCTTTTCATACGCTTATTTTTACTGCTGGTATCTTAGTCTTGTGGTTCTTTAGGTTATACACAAAAATTTCAGCATGATTTTGAGCGCCCACCTCTTAAGAGCTGTTTAATCTAGTGTCAGCTTGTATAGCAGTCTTCTGATCCAGTTTACTTCAGTACCAGTTAATTTATTAAACTAATTATAATAATGTTACTATGTTCATCTATTTTGTTAGTCAGAATAAGTATTATATTTAAATCTTTCTTCACTTGTGTTTTCAAGATCTTTAGTTTGGTGCTTACATCTTTCACAATGTGCCTTTGGTGTTATATCCAACCCCAGTGGCAATTCTGTCATGGGTGTACTTGCTTCAGGAAGTCAGACTGGCCCTAGTGACCCTGAGCTCTGTTGCATTAGACAATTCGCAGCAACACTTGTGAGCTGGAGGACATTGTGGTCCCTGTTTCTGTGCTCTTACAAAAACCTCTGATATGCACCTTACTGCAGTGCAAGACAATAATTAAATAAAATGTTTATTTAAAAAAGGGAGGTGGTGTAAGCCTGCCTTGGGGATTTTCCCCCCACCTCCAGAAAACGCCAAGCTTAAAATAGCAATAAAATAACTACATCTTAAATCACTCTAGCATTCTTCTCCTGATGGGGATAGATGTATCTCCTTATTGAGAATCTCATCTTTCTGGCATGTCTAAGGTGTGGTATTAAGTATTGCACTTTAGTCTCCCTCTCATTGTAATGTGTCTTTAGAGTGAAGGGTTTTTGAGGTGTAGGTGCGTTGTGCTGCAGGGTTGTACAGGGCTTAAACAGAAGGCCACAGCCAGCAACTGCATTACAGGTGATGAGGGATTTGGTGGCAAGCTGCTGAGCCAGCAGATACGAACTTTATATTCTCTTTCGGTGGAAATAAAAGGAAAAAAACCCCAGACTTCTTTTATTAGTTTGATCATTTGATAAATTATTAATGGCCCCATAAGGGATTACTCTCTGGTATTTGTAACTCTAATATACATGAGGTATTGAGTATGTGCTGTAACCTTGAATTTAGAAAGAAATTCCCTTCCCCCCCCCATTTTTACAGCTTGGGTGGTAAAAACAGTCTTATTTCTTTTTCAGTGTTCTCACTTCCTTTTACAATGCTGAGGATGAATCAAATCTCCTTTTGCCTAAATTACCAGCACTACCAAAAAAGTAAGCATTATACTAGTAAGCTTTAGAAGATAGAATTTGTCATTTGTTGTCGTCATTTTCGTTATTCATCTTTGATACTCTATAGATGCTTTGGATTAGATGTCTGCTCATTGTTATTGAGAATAATTATTTTGTTTTCAGTTACAGTACCACTGCAAAAATTTTCAGGTAAGAAATTGTCATCTTATTTCTCTCTCTCTTTTTGTGTTGGTTTTTTTTTTTTAATTTTGATTTCTGGTATTGAGACAAGCTGTGCAAAGCCCAATCATGTGTTTTGTATTTTCAGTGAAGAAAAGTCAGATGAGATTATGAAGCTTCTGGGTGATGTAAGGTAAATTCCGTATGTGGGTTGTTGTGGTGGGGTTTTTGTTTTGGTTTGGTTTTTTTCTTTTTTGTTGGTTGGTTTATTTTTTTAAAGCTATAAAATAATGGATAAGTGGGTTTACTTTTAAATTATTCATAATCTGCTTTTAAGGGTCCTAGAGAAAGGATATGGAATGTCTGTCTTTTTTCACGTACAAAGATAAAGTTCAAAGAATATATTTTAAAAAAAAAAAAGTTTCCATGAGCTTACACCTTTTCTCCTCAATTTAGAGGGATTATAAGGCACTTTATGAGCAACTGCTGTTGCTGCCTTGTCTTCTTTCCTTTAGAAGAAGATTTCTTGGGGTGTATTTGAAGGCTATGTTGTATGTGTTACTTAAGCTGGTCTTGGAGATGTTTGTGAATGCTTGTTATAGATGGGGAATTTCTGTGGGTTTGCATGAGTGTGACAAAGCTAAACTTAAAATTAACTCTGAAATCAGCTGTATTAGGGTTACTTTAAAATAAAGTAAATACCTCTTATTAGGAAACACATGAGGAGCAGCTGGAGGAAGTGTAGTTTAGCAGACTAAGACTGGCTTTGTGGAGCACTTGTGGTGCATCTTTGAGGAGAGCGTTTAACCTGTGCCTTGTTTTTCCCTTCGCTTTCTTTCACTGATCCTTACAGTCTCACCACTGAGAATCATCCTCCTTATTTCAAAATTTGCATCTCTGTCTATCACCAGTTATTCCTTTTTAAGACTTAGTATCTCTTCTTACCGTAGGACTTCCTTGCCAGAAAGAGAGATGGGGTGGCTGTCGGTGGTGTAGGAGCTTTCTGGATTCTGTGCTCCTTCATCCATTCAATTAATCAAACCAAAAGTTCTTCAGATACTATTTTGTTAAGTTCTGTCTTGTTTTAATGGAAACATTCTCCTTTAACATATATTTAGGTGTGTAACAGGCAGAAGTTGCAGTTAATTTTCTCATATTTGTAAGGGGAGAGGCAAAACATGCTCATTTTTTACATTGGAGAGCATTGCTGCTCACTGTAATGTAAGCAGTATGTGTAGTTGAAGATGTATGGATGTATGACAGCAATAGACAACCTGGCCAAAGTTTAACGTTTTAAACATAGACAAAAAGGGAGAGGTCATGGAGAAGCTTTTTCCCAAGTCATTGCTGCAAGTTGGTTTTAATAAGTGAACAAAACACAGATCTGTCTGTCCCAGACCCTGTTCTTTGAACTGGGTTTCTGTTTCTGACGGTGTTGTTACTTGTGGCTGTTCTTTGCTGCTGTGTCCATTTCAAATATTTATTGCATTGAGGTTTTGCTGAGGAGTGCCACTGAGTGACTGTGACAAACTTTCTCTGCATGTAGTTAGTATAAACTCAGGGGAATACAAAAGTAGCTTTGTAAGAATGCTTTGCAGCCTGTATTGGTAGGTGGGCTGTTGCTAGAAACTGTTACTTTTTTTCTTCTATAAGTTAGTGAAGAAGGACTTCTGTGCCTAAATTGTGTTATTTTTTCCCTATTCTCTCAGTTAATTTACTAATTGATACTCTTTCTGTAAATGTTAGAGGCAGGTCTTATCAATGAAACCCAAGCAAATTTTTTGGTTTTACATTTCTTGGATCGTAGACAGTAGTGCAGTATTTCTTTTTGTTCAGTGATTCTATAGGGATCTTTAGTAAAGGGATGGAATTTAAGTATTAAGAATTATATTTGTATGCATTAGAATTTCTCTCAGTATGTTCATCAACACACATTCTTCTATTTTTATAGGCTTAATGCTCTTGTCCTTGGTGGCAGCTCAGGATTTATTGAGATTTATGCTTATGGAATGTTCAAGATTGCTACAGTAACTGGGGTACGTTCCATTCCTTTCCATGTTTTTTCTTTATAATATATCAAGCTACAGCTGAATTGAATGAAAAAATACATATATGTGCTTACACATAAGTGTAGTGAGTTGTTGAAGTTTAAAGAAAGGAATAGTTGTTTCTCTTGACTGGGCTGTGTGGTTATTTTTGGAAAGGCATTCTAACTCTGGTGATTTTAACATGTTGTTTCAAATGAAACAAAGTTTCAAACACCAGTCCACAGTAAAAAGACTGCTTTTGTTCCTGAACAGTAGCTGAAAATTCCACTTTGTATTTACATGTTGTTGTAGCCGCCTTTGTATGTGAATGTGTTAGAGCAGTAAATGCATCTTAGCGGAAATGCAATATTTCATTAACTTTTAAACTGGAATCCTTCAGGTGGAAGGTTCTTGTCGTGGACTATGTTTGTCTAGTGATTTGAAATCACTATCAGTTATTACAGAGATAAGAGACTCTTCAGACAGTGAAGCAGAGATAACATATTTTCAGGCAAGTAAAGTAATTTTAAAATATGTTCTTTAAAAGTAAAACTGCTTTTTTAATTACTTTATGGTAGCTTCATTGCTTTCCTGTTATTTGCAGAAAAAAACACAACTACTATTTCCAGCCTTTCTGAAATTCACCCTTTTGGATTTATCAACACTAACATGCAGTTTCACTGATAAGACTGATGGTGATGATCTGAGGCATTCTTTTAAAATATTACTTTAAATGTAACATTCATTTAGTCAATTGCAGTTACTTAGACTTTCTTCATTCTGCACACAAAGGCATAGGAGCAACGCTATTGATTATCCAGTCTCTCTGGAAGAGTTATCCTTAAAACTATTACTGTTAGAACTCCAAAATGAGGAACTTCAGAAGTTTTTATAGATGTATTAAAAAAATTTATTGCCCCTTTGAATTAAATGCATTTCTCTCTTAAAATCAACTTCAAGGAAATGAGAAATGTCTGTTTTTCTGTGTCCTCCCCATCTGTCTTTTCATTTCTTTAATCTAAAATTTCTTAAAATAAAAATCATCTATTAACTGTTGCTTGTTTCATTTGTTATAGCTGGACACTAGTCTGTTATCAAGTTACTTACCTGAGGTAACTCGAATGGCCCGGAAGTTTACTCACATTTCAACTCTGTTACAGGTACAGTTGTGTTACGACATCTTTTTAATATCATAGTTCTTACAGGCTTCGATATTCTTAATGCAAGTAAAATAACTGTTTTCTAGTAGGAAGCTTAAGTTGGTTTTAAGTAAATGTAGAGCTCTAACTTGGAATTTGATAATTTTATGTAATCAGTATATCTTCCCTTTGTATTGTAACACCTGGTTCTTGCATGTGTTTTGAAGGGAGGAAGAAGGGAATAATGCTAATGTCTGTATCTGTATTACAGTACATAAAGTTGTCATTGACATGTATGTGTGAAGCGTGGGAAGAAATATTGATGCAGATGGACTCACGGCTAACAAAGTTCGTACAGGTATTGTAGTGTTAACCATTCTTTTGGAAAAACATTTTTTGCTGTAGTTCTGTTGTTCATGTTAACATACTGCATATCTTAATGTTGTTTAAGCATAACGCCTCCAGATAACAATGTCTAAGTTCAGAGGCAACCTGGAACCTATTTTATGTCAAGTGCTCTGACGCTGAAGGTAACTGAGTACAACCAAGCATGACTGTATTGTGATACTTCTTTATTTTATTTATTCTAAGTTATTCGAAAGTGATAGTTTTCAGCTTGCACAGCTGCTGATCAGTTGCTTTCTATTTAAGGTTGTGCTCTTTGTACTTCAGTCACTGATAAACTGAATACTGTAAATGTTGAGTAACAGCTCACCAGCACTTACAGCTTAGTTCAGTAGAGCATGTATGACAGCCATGATTAAGATGCTCTTGGATTTGCTTAAATTTAGTGTTCATTAACCATGGCTAGAAGTTAATTGAATCAAATATTTTTTTTTTATTTTTTTTAAAATAGATTCTTGGTGGTGGCAAACTGCTGAGGCTTTTTACTGGGTAATACAATTCAAAATAACTTAAAATACATGAAAATTTCCAGTGATCAGTAGTCTGATTTCAGCATTCAAGAATATGGGTGGGTTTTCCAATATACTTTAATTGAAGTGTTTGTGAGATTATTTGGTAGCCTGGATTTAATCTCTTTACCAATCTATTTCAATAATTTTGACTGACAGGAAAAGAATACAACCACTTCTGTTCAGGATGAGTTTATGCAGCTGCTGTTATGGGGCAAAGCAAGGTAGCTACTGTTGTTTTATCCGAGTATGCATTTGCATTTGATATTGAAATACAAAATGAATGCATATTTGGTTCTCTCCCCGACCCCCTTTAGTCTGGAACTTCAGGCATTACTAATGAACCAACTGACGGTAAAGGTATGTTAGTATTTTTTAACATACTAAAGTAATGTATTTCAATATCTTTTAATCACTGTTCTGTTAAGTTAACAGAGCATTATTATGTTTGTATTTCTTTTTTAACAGGGTTTAAAAAAACTCGGTCAGTCCATAGAGTCTTCCTATTCCAGTATACAAAAGTTGGTCATAAGTCATTTGCAGAGGTAAGCCACAGAATGTCCAATGAATTATAGATAAAATGGCATGTTATATGCTTTGCTAAAAGATGGTACGCTGTATCGGTAGTTCTTTGTATGTAGGTGTGCTGGTGCAGAGACTGTGATCATGGCAAAACGTACTGATTTACTTTTGGGTGATGGAGAGCTGTTGAAGTATTTTGAACAATCTCCATGACACACCACCTGTGTATCACTGCGTGGTGTGTTTGTAGGATATATGCAAAGTATTCACACCAGCTTTGTGTGGTGGTTAAAATCATTACGAAAAGGACAATATTGGCTTTTCTGTGAAGTGTACTTTAACTCTTACATGCCAGACCACCTAATAAAGCTCTCCACTTTGCACATAAGTGATAAAAATGTAGCATGCCTTGAAGCAGTCAACTTCCAAAGGGTGACTAAAAGATTATGCTTCTTTGCTGTGCTTTCCTAGTGGCTCTGAGGCACTGTTATACCACTTGAGTGAATTGAAAGGAATGGCTTTATGGAAACAAAAATATGAGTCTCTGGGATTAGATGCATCTGGAATTGAAGGTACAGCAGTGTGTGTGCTACTTACCGACTCTGATTTCACTTTTGAAAGCTTCATAATAATGGTTAGCTCTTTTTGCAGAGGCTATTACTGCTGTTGGTTCTTTCATCCTGAAAGCAAATGAGCTGCTTCAGTAAGTATAAAGTCTGGAGAATTTAAAAAACTTGCCTATTGAGTCTTGTATCTAAGGGGAAGCTTGTGGCTGGGTATAGAGGAAGCTGGGAGAGCAAGGCTCCTCTGTTGGTGGTGAGCTTTTATCTTGTCTCGCTGCATCTCATAGACTCATATCCCAAGAATAGTCTTACTCAGAAGGTTGTGTTGGGAATTTTTTGAAAAATTGATAGTGCTTGCAGGTCTTTCTGTAGTAAAGATGGGACTTGAGCTGGGAGCAGCTTGTGACATTTAGATCTGGTAATTTCTTTTCTTGTTTCTTGCTCAGAGTTATCGACAGTAGTATGAAAAACTTCAAAGCATTTTTTCGATGGCTGTATGTTGGTAAGCTTGATGATGTAGTAAGCATCCAGTATTTGTTTTGTATTGTAAGCATTGAAATGTTGGCAAGTAATTAAGCCACTCTCAGTTATAACCATCTATTTATTTCTATCATAGAAAATTTCTGGACATCTAAAAGGTTACAGTTGATGAGGCAAGAATAATTATAATGTTAAACACATAGATCATAAATTTGATAGTTCTCCATTAAACTTAGTGTGTGTACAGTGGGTATTATCTTGTAATATTACTCCAAATTGTTGTCTGCTTCATGAGCAATTTGCTGGTCTTGACTTGGAGAAATGAAAGGACTTGATGTAGTTTACACCAAATTTGAAGTATAGGCTAACTCTCCTTTACTCTGTCACTTGCTGTTTCCTCCTGTGGAGACCTAGTTAGCTGTAAGGTTATGCACTGATGTAAACAGTCTCTGAATGTCTGGATGCGCTTGATAGCTACCTCCAGTTATAGCTGGGTAGCTGCAGGTAAAATACTACAAGTGCAGAACACTATGTTTTAGCCTGTGTGTTTTTATAAAGTGGTTATGAATAGGTTTATAATTTTTAAATGATCTTTTTATAACTACTTTACAAAAAACTAAGCAGTCTTACCAGATACTATAAAAGCATCAGAAATGAAGTGTTAGCACTTACTAGTAGGAATATAATCATTTTAATTTTAAAAATTGCAGCAAGCAGAACTATCAGAGTTCTCTGTCATAACATTAGAACTTTAATTATTTAAATGTTCACCGTGTTTGCTTGTGTTGAAACTAAACAGAGAACTGTTTATCTAAGCCTCACTGATTTAAAGTTACTTCTGTGCAATTCTCTTAAAACACATTATTCTGGGCATGACAGTATTAAAGTATTTTCTATATATCCATTTTACTACTCTTAGTACGTACATGAATAAATTCTTATGAACCCTTTTATAATAATCTTATCGCAGTCTTATAGAGGGTACAATGCAGTTGAAAAAGATTAAAGAGAAAAATTCTCCAAGATTTGTATTGTAAGCTAGTGGGGCAAGTGAGGCTTAATTTCAGTCTCAATTCATAATTCTTCATTCCAGAGTCTCTTGCTTCTGACAAATTAATCTTTCCTATTTTATCAGCAGTGTCTTACTACATAGCCATAGAAAATTAAGAATATTAGGAAAACATTATTAATATTAATGCAGTAAGAATATAATTTTTCCCTCAGCCATGTTGAGGATGTCAGAAGATCATGTGCTTCCAGAGCTGAACAAGGTAGTAGTAATATTTTCTAACAAATGGTGGTATGGTGTGTATTCTGCTTGATTTAGAGGGCAAGATTAAAGGTTTATTTTTGCTCCAAAACTTAAAGGATAGCATCTGTGTCGTTTCTTTGAGAAGGTTGATGCCTGCAGATTCACGCTAATATGCTGTCTTGCGTGAATTACTTTTTTTGTTTTCTTTGTTAATACTACTCTTTTTAGTACACTGTATGTGAATGCTGGACCTCTATATATATACAAAAAAGTATAGCAGCTTTTTATGTGCCCTAAATGACTAAGTTATCTGGAATGGGATTTTAACATCTTTACCAATGCCCTGGTAGAGGAGATGGAATACACCTGCATCAGATTTGCAGACACCATCACACTGGGTGAACCAGTTAATATGCTTGAGGGCAGAGGTGCCTTCCAGGGGGAAATAGTTAGGCTGGAGGAAAGGACAGATAGGGACTTCCTGAAGTTCGACAAGGACAAATGCAAGGTTCTGTTCTGGGGAAGAGTAACCCGCTGCGATTGCACAGCAGGGCCCCAGCTGGCGGGGGAGCAGCTCTGCTGAGATGGACTCAGGGATGTTGGTGGATGCAAGATGGGCAGTGTGCCCTGGCAGCAGAGGCAGCCAAGAGTAACCAGGGCTGTACTAACAGGAGCACAGCCAGGAGGTCAAGGGAAGTAGTTACCCCCCTTATTTAGCACTCATCAGATCACATCTAGAATATTTTCTCCAGTTTGGGGCCCTGCTATACAAGACAGACATGAATAAACTGGAGTGAGTTCAGCAGAGGGCTCCCAAGCAGGTTGGAGGCTGGAGCACTTGCCCTGTGAGGACAGGCTGAGGGAGGTGCACTTGTTCAGCCTACAGAACATGTGTTCTGTGCTCATTGGAATGTACTTCTTATCCTTTGCTTTTGTCACTGTTGTTTTTTTTTTTTTTTTTCTTTTAGATGACTCAAAAAGATATCACGTTTGTTGCTGATTTTCTTACTGAACACTTCAATGAGGTTAGTTATATTGGTTTGCCAAGTATAGCATCTGACTGTATTTTTGCTGCCAAGAATTGAATCTGAAAAATCTTAAATAAAATAATCATCTTTTTGTACACTATTTCTCATTAATTTGGGGTTTAAATAATGGTTTTGTTTGCATTATTTTTTCAGGCGCCAGAACTTTACAATCGTAAAGGAAAATACTTCAATGTGGAGAGAGTTGGCCAGGTAAAGAACTAGAGCGTAAATGGAAGAAAAATGAATGACAAAATCCTTAGATGGAGAAGCTTTTAAAGCTGTGCCCGCTTTTCTTATCTGTCTCTTTTGCTCTGTGTTGCACATTCCAGTAATGGTAAAGGAGAGTGTTTTAATTATTTTCCACTATTATAAGGAAAAGGAGCGTTTAAAAACGTATCTTAGTTTTACCTTACACATGCTGTATTTTTAGGAAAAGGATGAAACTCCTTCGCAGCCAGCAATAGTAATGTAAAACTGAAATGTGTTTATTGTCTTTATGCCATTAATCACTGGATTTCAAAACATTTGTGCTCAAACTGGATTTAAAAATCAGTTTCTTATGGATGGAAATATCACTATCTGATTGTAGACAATAGTTGATTTTTCTTACTGTTTCAAGAAGAGGTGGAATATTTAGTTTTAAGAGTAGGGCATGTTAAACTAAGAAGAAACGTTTAACAGGCGCATGAGGGGCAATGTTGGAGGTGAATTCTAATGCCCCTTATTCTTAAAATGCAGTCTTACCAATGTCTGTTTCTTTTCTAGTACTTGAAAGATGAAGATGATGACCTTGTATCACCACCTAATACAGAGGGAAACCAGTGGTTCAACTTTCTTAAAAATAGTACTCATCTTAAAGGTAACGTATGCTTTAGTAAAAAGTAAAAGTGAATCAAAGATAAATGTAGAATGTAACAAATGTAAAAGAGTAATCTGTTTTTTCATGCTTACAAGTTATTTCTATAGTGTTAGTCGTGGGTCTCCATCTGAGTAGAATAAAATAAATGGGCCTTGTTATTTTTGCACAGTTTTTATGTAGCTGCTTACCACCAGTCAATTACCATTTTCTGAGTATTAGGAGTTTCCTACCTTTTCTGTACCAGTGTCAGAAATGTTGGCTTGGAAGGAATCCCAGGAGATGTCTATTTTAGGAGATCTTCATTCCAGTTCAAGGAAGTAATGATTATGCTTAGGTCATACCTAGGGGAAGTGTCCTAACTTGTTCTCTTTGACTGGAGTCTGAGACTATTTTGTTAATTAGTAGTGAAAAAGAATTAAGCAACTATAACAAGCTGGTGGTGAAAATTATTCTTGTTTAACTTTAGAAACCATGGACTGTAAAACTTCTACAGCATAAGCTGTCTTGTTATTGAATTTGCTATAGCTGTGTTTTTCTGCCTATTTAATTCAATAAAAAGGGGGAAAGTGGTAGCATTTTGGTTTGGCAAAGTAGTCCTTAGAAAATGTATTTTAAAACATGCTTTGAAAATATGTTTCATGCTTTAAATGTGTAGACGACTTGACTGGTCATTTCTGTTACTACCCAAGATTTGTGATTGTTTGTAGAGATGGTTTGTAAGTTGTTTTGTTGGTGTTAATTTGCCAAGTATTGAGATGTTTGTCTCGCTCTCAGAACTTTAAGGTTTATAGGACAAGTAATGCTTCTGTCATTGACACTTTCTACCCTCTTTGGTGTTTTATATAGCTTTGTTGGTTGATGTAATTTTTATCATTTTTCCTTCTAAACATTGGAAAAGAGACAGGTTATGTACTTATAAGAAGTAGTGAGATTTATCTCAAAAGCGAAATGTCTTCTTACAAAGTATTTCATTTCATAAGAACGAATCAGTCCTAGTGAAGCCAAACCATAGCTACTATAAAAAGTATGGAAATTGTTTTGCTTAAGCAAGGTATTTTATGACAACTGTGTTTCTAGCTCTTGGGTAAATGCAATTCCGTCTTTTTGCAATTTTGAATGGGCTGTGAAGAAAAGCTGAAGAGGCAGGCAGGCCTCCATTTCTCATTCATTTATCTTGTTTCATATTATAATCCAGTTAGTTACTTGAGTTAGAATTTATAGTCGGGGAATAATTTAGGTGGTCACCTAATCCAACCAAAGCAGGGCTAATTTTGAGGCTAGGCTGGGTTGCTCAAGGCTTTGTGCAGTCGAGTCCTCTACGCCTGCAAGGATAGAGACCCTGCAGCCTCGCTGGGAACCCTGCTCCAGTGACTAAGCAGTCCTTGTGAAAACTTTTTTCCTTACATCTCGTTGGAATTTCCTTTGCTGGAGCTTATGACTGTTGTATCTTCTCCTCTCACTGTGTGCAGCTTTGAAAATGATGTCTTCTGTAACTCCTCCTTTAGGCAGCTGAAGACAGCAACAGGTTCCTCCTTGTTAGCCCTCACTTCTCTAGGCTGCATGAACCCGGCCCCCTCAACTTCTCCTCGTAAAGCTTGTGCTCTAGCCCTGCGACCATCTTATTGACCCTCCACTGGATTCATTCCAATTTGTCACTATAATAAGTGTAGTATGTTTTTACAGAGATATAAGCATTTTTTCAATGAGCTTTATCTGTTTACAGAAAGTCCACTTTTGTTTCCCTACTATCCTGAGAAATCACTGCATTTTGTCAAAAGGCAAATGGAAGGGGTGATTGATCAGTGTTTACAAAAGCCAGCGGTAAGTTCAATTTATATAAATGATAACTTTAT